TGTTCTCTCATCTGGTACTTTCCTCAGAGGCTTATTTTTCAACATTAATAAGCACTGGCGTATGGTAAACTTATCTGCTGGCTGAAACACTTAAAAATGACCTGCATGATTTCCAATAAAGTCTCCAAAGTGTAACACAGACAGCCTGTGGCAACTGGCAGATCCGAATTTCAGACCTCCTTCTGCAAGCTGTTGGCAGGAGGGTCAGCATTATGAGGTATGGAGTAGGGGCAGGCTTACACCTAGCTCTGCTTTCCATTGGAACCACCTGTAGGAAGGGGGTTATGAAGAAGCAGGGCGTTCCTGTCCCCTCTGTTCAGGGACATCGCTACCTCAGTTAATGCTCCTTTCCTGAGGAAGAGGAAGGACTACGTGCTAGCACAATTTGATGAAGTGCCATGCTAGACTCACAAATCATCACATCAGTGAGGATTTCTGTAGTGAACAAAACAGAAAAACAGACCTGTGAGAGGATATTTTTATATATATATATTTAATATTGGGGCAGTTTTTTTTTTACTCTGTGGAGAAAATGAGGGCTTTTGTGCAGAACTGAACCATGGGTTAGAACAGAAGGCAGGGTCCCGTGCCAAATATCACATGGAAGGAGCAACTGAATGTTCATCTTCTGGGTGGTGAAATTTTTGGGAAGAACATAGGGGCCTTATCCAATAAAAGGACATGTAAATGGCTTGTAACAAGTAATTCAGCATAGAGTTAGCCTGTACTTGCCATTTCTTCTGACATGCGAATTGGCCATGACTTGTTCTGTTTTGCCAACGTAATACATAGTACATATACAACACTTTATCCAGTAAAGGTTTTTGGTTTGGGATTTTTTTTTTAATATATATAAACAATACCAACATAGGATTTTTCAGGAGGCTATTTGGGACCACAACGGCAAGGTAAAGATGTACAGAAGGTCTCAGTGACAGAGTCACTGTTTGTGATTTAAAAATTCAGACTACTCTAATACTGCAGAAGGCTGGATTAAATTATTCCAGCTGGCCGGATGCTTCTCATAGGCTGTCTATCTGACAGTCCTGCTTCTAAAAATATCTGAAGTTGGATTTGCAACACTGATCTCTCGGATAAGTAATCCTTTACTATCACTAGAAGTTCCCCACTCACACAGAATATGCCTGCAGTTAAAGAAATCGCAGTAGTAGTAGAAGGCTGGTATTTCAGAATTCCCAGCCTCTGCCTTTGATTACCATTTTCTTGTATTTTATTTGGGTTTCTTTGTGGCTTTTAGCAGCAACAAAAGTAAATCTCAGTTCCAAACTATGTGTACAACTTGCAATATGTATTTATTTATCTAGATAGTATTCTGGTTGTCATTTTACTTCTTATGTAGTGGATGAAATGGTCTGTTTCTAATCTCTGTTGATAGTTTTTTTTGAGGGGTGGAGGCTGGAGGTCTCCTGCAGCACATTTTTCATATTTCTGCTTAGGAAAAAAATTGGTATGGGTTTTTATGACTTCGTCACATCATAACGTTAAAGGGTCCCATTTTCACCGTGGACCTTTTGGAAATTGTTACCTTTTCATCTTTACAAGGTAGATATTGCCTGAATGACAGCCCTCTGGTAAATTCTGTTGTATTATATACTGTTGTACGAAAAGAAGATCAATTAAGTGTTTCTCATTAAATGATACGGACTCTGAAGCATTAAAAACTGTTTTGCATAGAGACATCAGGCAGCAGACACAAATGTGTCTTAGGTGGGGGCTGTTGTTGAGCCAAGATTTTCTTTCAATCGTTACAATACAGTAGGTTGCTTATGCAAAGAGCAGGGAATTAAACACACTCAAGTATGTATCAGAGGGACAAGTAAATGCTTGATTTATTTATTAAACACTCCAATGCTTGCCTTTCTTTCCATGTTAGCAGTGCCAAACATATTGATGATAATCTGATACACAGTTTTAAAGCCCTTACACTCAAACTATTACTCAGTTTTTCTGCCTACTAAAGTGATAATTAGGGGCTAAAAGGTAACCAGATTATTGTAGAGATCTCTTGTGACAGCCTTTAACACCTACTTAAATGTTAAAGCCTGGAAATTACAAACCTCTCTGTATCATTCAGACCACAGTATATTCTGAAGCAATCTGATATTTCTAGATTGCTTTTCATGCCGTAGTACCACTCCAGTGCTCTCTAGCTTGCTCTGAGTGCCTGCCCACTTGCAGAACATCTTCACTAGGCAAAATAAGTCCCTAAGAACAAACTTCTTGCGACGTATGGAAGTTAGGTGGGATTTCCAGATGTGTAAAGAGCACTACAGCTGATTCAAGGTATACTGGGGCTGTTTAAAAGCTTCTACCTTGTCTTGATAGCTTTGCTTAATTTAGGTCTGTTTGAGCCCCTGTAATAGTTTGCTGTGAGGGAGAGGTACTGCTGTCTCCTCTGACCTCTCTGCAGGTTCCCTTTCTCTCTCTGCAGTGTGCTGACTTTAACATGCATTGGAGTCCTCAGTGACAATGAGGGGACAGGTATGGATAGGAGGTGAGGGAAGGTGGAGTAGGAATGATCTGACTGGATCTACCAGAATGGATCACACTTCTTGGATAACTTCATCCTTGGGAATTGTTTCCTCAGCAAACCGGAGGTTTCAGTAAAACCCATAGTGAGTTTGCCTGACACAAATGAGAACAGCAGTAACAAGGCAGTGTCATGGGAGTTAGCATGCAATTAGCAAACAGTGTAATCCTGCAATAATTTTCATCTTATTACCTACATCTGCTAAAGCCTAAGCCTGCAAACATTCATTGCTATTCTTACCTGCACCAGCTAAATTAAACTAATGCACTTAAGCAGTTATTTTTCTTTATCCTATCTCCTGTGACAGCACTATCCAACGCAGAAGTGAACGGTAATTAGCAGCAGCAGTCTTGAAGGCAAACGTTACATTATGAAGACTCTATCATAAAGTCAGCTAGTTTGTCCACAGTTTTCTTGCTGTGGTTGCTTCATCCAACCCGACACATTCTATGGTTCTATAAATAAGACTTAACTGTGCAGATGCAGGTCCAAATTAGTAATTAAAGCTTGACCTTATTGGCACTTCCCTGTCCAGCTGCCCAAAATGGCCATCTGAAACGCTGAAAAGCACATTCTCAAAGGACAGAATTCATCTCACCCTCTGAAAAAGAGGTGTCTAGTCTAAGTTATTTGGTCTGTTGCTTCTCTGCTCTGTTGTCAAGGGAGATGCATCTCCAGAGAGTGATTTGTCCTGTCCTAAGAGATGCATCTCTGGCTATCAGGAATGATCATCCTCTGAACATGCTAATCTCTCTATATTCACTGCAGGAGGAATTCAGATAACTAGATGAATCTTGCATGTTGCATCCAGCTGTGCATGACTGACTGACAGCGGTTTCCACTTAGCTATGTTTTCTGCTTTTATTATGAAAAATCTGGGGTATTTGTGAGCAAATAAAAGCACATGTTAATAGTACTTCAAAACTCCTACATTCAAAACCAGAAGAGCCTAGTTAAATATTAAGTATTGCAAAGCAATGCTTTACTTTTTTACCTTTTGTTATAGTCTGACTGATGAATTTATAATTTAAAAACTCTTTTTAAAATATCTGAAATGATGCTGATACATGACATCAAGTGCAATGGTATGTTTCAACCAGGTTTTTGCTTTCTTGCTCAGTCAACCTGCTTTCGTTTGAATGTTGCTCTTCTGTAAATCTGATAAGCAAAGCAAAAACCTTATTTACTACAGCATACTCAACTTTCAGCTCTTCAAGGAGTACTACGTTATATGTTCGCTTATAGAACTTAGTGAAGGGAATCAGAAGTCAGTTGTGTAAGACATGAATAATTTCATGAAAAAGCTGCCACTGGCTATATTATACATCTATGTAGCTTATAAAACAAAGCCAATGATTACCATCAATTATAATACCATCATTTGACAACTCTACAATTAATTTCCTACTCTTAAATAAATGCTGTTGCACAGTGCCAAGGAAAATGCCATGCATTAACTGACTCATCACTGGAGACTGTGATAGATAGTACAGATGGTAATTTGATTATTCACCGCCAAGAAAATAAGTGCTTTATTATGAAAAACTATTCAGTTTGATCTTCTGAAAGAATGGTAACAGGGATACAATAGGGTATCTATAAAAATAATCCCTACAGAAATATACAGTTACTTTGTAGCATTATTTTATTTGTTAAGATTTTTATAGTTCATAGACATGGCCCAAGCTGATGCGGTACAAAACCCATACATGTTTCCTATGTAAAAATGGTCCTACATAAGAAGAATGGAAAGATTCTGCTTTGTCGACCGGAAAGCCTGCACACTTTCATATACATGTCTAGAAAGTACTCCATATATAAGACCAAAGTATTTATCCAGCAAGAGTATTAGGCTATCCTGCAAGAGCTAAGAGGCTCATTAAGTTACGGTCTTTTCTGGGACAGACAGGTATGTAAAATACAAAGCAAGCAGTAATTCTGCCAGGTTTACTTGTGGATTTAAATTTATTTCTCGAGTAGACCAACAGACTTCTGTGGAACCATCTCTAAAATTAACTGTCACCTTATTTTAACTTGAATCAAAGACAGAGCAATACTCAATGTAAAGTATTACGCAGTAGTGAGTAGCAAAAGTAGCACATCTATAAGAACTTGAAGCCCTTCCAGTTTCACTTTGTAGTTAATCTTGTATTTGCACTTACTAGGAATATAAAGGACCTATCAAAAGATACGTGATTCCTTTGCAAGTAGCACATATGAGGATAGAGAGTGTCTATGCATACAGTAAACACAACAGTTTCATTTTTAGATATGAGTCACACAATTTGCCCTGAATAGGGGAAAAAAAAGGAATTCCATTCTGAATTTCAGAATGGATACAGGGGAACAATTTTTCTGTGTACAAATTAGTTTGCAGATACCTTCAGGCAGAAATGGGAACTGAGTAATTCACACTGGGCCACTCGTAACTCCAAGCAAGGTGACATACCTCCCCAGAGAAAGCCTGTCCATTGAGTAGGTGCTCTGATCCCTGGCTGTCTTCACTGCCAAAGTGTAACCGGATTTCCTCTAAGCGGTGGCTGTACGTCATTGGTCCTCCAGAGATGTTGACCAAATGCTCTTTGTCTAATCGTAGAGATACGTGTCTCCCTGTATTATACATTGTCCCACTGACCTAAAGAAAATGGGGGGAAAAATAGCAATTTTTTCAAAATCATTTGTAAATCCTAGAAACTCGTTATATGCGCTTCAAGATTTTGCTTTTTACACACCTTCATTTAAATGTAGCACTGCACCTTATTGGTGTGAGATGAAATACACAACCGGAGGTTATACTTCAACTTCTGCTTTGAATCTTATACTGTTTATTCAAATATTTTGCTAAGTCCATAGGTACATATTTTAGCCAGGGGCACACGGTTAACACAGTGAATAGCATTATTACTCTTCTAAATAAGTAGGCTTCTAGAATATTTTTTTATGCAAGGTATGAATAATGTCTTCATTACAAAATTTCTGCACTGAAAATAGGACCATTTCAGCTGTCATCAATTATTTAAGTACACTTGAACAAAGCTGAAATTTCACTCATTTTTTCCTTATTTTAATATTTATAACAAAGTTATCTGAAAGCAAAGGTCCTGCAAAAAGCAGAGCTATAATTATTCATAAATAGGGAGCCCTACTTCTACTGGAGCTGCAGGTAAAAACTTTCATTGTCCTCCTCTGCAAGTCTCTTTGTATGGTTATGAATATTTTATGTTTACATTGCCAGAAAGTTTAGTCATAGGAGTACAGAATTAATTACAATTTGATCATATATCTCTAGTTCCTACTATACCTCAAATAGCTGTAATGTTTTCCAAGATTCAGCTTTGTTTTTATAAGACTGAATGTTCTGCTTCATTTGCAAACTGATTTACAGCTGCTGTAATGAAAAAGAGAATGATTGTGGAAATTTTTCATCTGGAATAGAATTCTGTCATAATTTCCACTACCATAGGAAAGGTTCCTATAGCAAGAGGTTCCTTAATTTATGCCATTAGAAAGTGAAATATGCCAGTTTGAGTTAAAGCAGAAATGTGATTTATTTAAAAGCATTCTGCATGGATACAAATGATACACTTGAATAACGTTCATTTACTTTAAGAAGAGGAAGTGTAGCAATAATATGCTTTGTTGCACTTCAATTTAAAATTAAAGACATGACTATTATGTATTATATCCTATCCTACATCAGTACTATAGTAATTAACATTGCTGCAGTGTCATTTTATCTGTAATACTAATTACTGAGTTTTCTTGCACAGTGTGTTGTAAAAAGTTACACTGAACAGACTGTGCAATAGAAGTAAATGGATGAGACGAAACAGCTTTTGATTGCTGTGGCTTTTAAAACGTTGATACAGATGTTCTATTTTTTGTGTTTATTCCAATTCAAAATAAGCAGTAATAAATTTCATATGAAAAGTAATAAACACAAATATTCCTATTCATTGCAAATAAAACACAGGGATCTTACTTATAAATGTTCCTTAGTTTTTCTGCTTGAATTTGCATGCGGAATAATTAAACACCAAGTTTTGTTTAATAGGTGGAAGAAGGTCACTTTATTGAATTCGGTTCCAGTACGCTGCATGTGAATGACATAAAATTGCTAATCATAAGTAACAAACGCAGTTTAAAAACAAATAGGGGACAATGGTTGAAAGCCTCTTACATTTGGAAACTCGTGCTTCACTGAACACTCAGTTAAATTTAACAACTGTGCCAAATATTCAGAATCCATTTTCTTACTTAAATTGGTGCAAATCTCAGATTAGGTTATCATTATTTTCTCTCTCAAGGCAAAAGTGACCCAAATAACCCCTAATATGAATCAAATAACTCTGTGTAGAGCAAAGGAGGGAAATGGGAAGAGGCAAAGTCATGAACAGGAGGAACATTTATCTTTCTCATTTCCCCCTCATAAAACTGCAGTGCTTGTAATGAGGCTGTATTGACTGTTTTAAACCAGAATTTCCCTACGTAACTACAAAGTGTACCAGTAACACCCTGAAGTATCAGACACAGCTCATTTCTGACCTCTAGGAGGGATAAATGCTTGAAGTGAGACTGTAAGAACCTCCTGCATGGGCACACAGAGTTGTCACCAGGAAGGACAAAATTCAAGATCTTCAATACAGAAAATGGGAGGTCTTATCCTTTCATCTGCTGCCTAAGCTTTAAGTGGAGCACTAATTTTCTTGTTGTGAGTGTGTGCACGAGGGAAGCGTGGCCACATACACCAGTATGGGTTCAGGACCAAATTGCACCTCTGGGACACGTCCATGCACATCTTCTCCTGAGAGTGTCAACAAATACCACCATTACCAGCAACTTTTAATGGGCACTTCCTTTGTGGACATTTGCTTACTACAAGAAGTGTCTTATATTTGCCACCTACTCAGACAACATCTAAATGAAAGATTGAGATATTTAAGAATCATTTTTTAAAAATATAGGGACCCAGATTGTATAGTAGGCTGTGCTTGATTATGGGAAGTGCCACCATAACTCTATGTGAAATTTTTTATTGCGGTTCAGGATATTGTCTGTTTTATATACAAACCCAGTATTTTCTCACCTTTAAAAGAGTACATTCCAAGTATAACCCTTTACAGCTGTAGGACACAGCACCACATAAGTGCAATCACCTTCTGTTTGCAAGCTGAAAGTCCACAAATGTGTTATAATCAGTAGGAAAGCATCATGCAAAAAGCAATGCATTTTTCTTCCATTGTCCTCAGCAGAAACCAATGCACTGTCTTGTCACTATGTGCAGTTTTAACTGCTGCTGGAGAAACCGAAGGTTCTGATGTTATTCACTGTGTGAACCTACTGATAAAAGAAGGACTCTTAAAGTGATGGTGCCCTCTCATTTTAGAACATCAAACTGAGCTGGTTTAGTGGAAAGCAAAGTTGCATGTGGTCTTGTAAAAGGCCACAGGCACAGAAGTTAACAAGGAGGTATTTTCTGTATTTTGTACATTCTTCTACAAGATAAGCAGTATGAAGACAGGGGTGCCTTACAGGAAGGATGTTGACTCTGCCTGGTACAGTCAATGATATCTGCTACTCCAGAAAGCATACTGTTTGTTTTTTATGCCATTCTGTGGTTTGGATAAAATTTATAGGGTAGTTTAAAAAGATAATATAAAAGATCTGTTAAGATCTATGTAACTATTTCCTTAATGTGTCAGACTAATCTCTGGTGCTAAGTCCTTCAGTGACGGCCTTTGTCTTGCTTCTGTGTTTCTGTTTGAGTTGAAAGTTACATAGAGATGAAAACATCAATCAGCTTGGGGAAAAAAAGAGCACTAAATTTTGCCCTCCTATTTTTCAAAAGGATCAATATTCACATTTATTATATACATTAGAAATGAGACTGCAGCAAACTTATATTAAAAGATCAGTAAAAGCCTGACTGAGAAAACAGCTGAGTCCAACATTGCCAAATTTCATGATCATGCCATATTTTTAGTTGACTGCATTTTCCTCATGCATTAAGAAATGTTTCCAAACAGGTAATTTTACCTGTGGCAAAATCCCCATGTAGAACAGAGCACGTTGATGGGCTTCAACCTTAATTGTGGAACAGTTTAACTTTGGTAGACTTTAATTAAATTATTAACATATTCATGATGTAGTTATTTTCTATTTAATCTCATTCATTTTAATTCTTGCTTCACAGAGCTTTGTGCACATAATTCCCCAGCAGCATTATTCTCTCTTTATCTTGATGCAAGGCAGCCACCCAGGCACACACTGCTAATTTATTCTATCCTATGTTTCTAAGTAAGGTCTGAATACTCATGTGGTATCTGTGTGTAACTTTGCTGGTCCTGTGATCACAAAAAAAGTCCCAATTCTTGTCTTTGAAAGGTGGAACACAAGTAAAGTCAATAAAAATGCATACCTAATAAACATAAACTCCTTGATACGTGTTTATCTTGAAACTCTACAGAACTTTATGACCATTAGGAAAAAAAGAGAAACCCTGAAATATTTTGTATTAATGTTTTTAATGATGTTCTTTGACCCTGCATTTGTGGAGGCATTTTTGTTGTGTCCTACTTAACTGTCTGTCTTCTTCCCTTTGTCTCTTTTTCCACAACCAGTCCTGAACTAAATGTTTTTTTGGAACTTCCTTTGTAGCCTACATTTTTACATTACAGTCTGTGCTAAAATAGCCTTCAAAACCCTGAGCAGGAGAAGTGACAGAAAAAGGCGCCTGTTTCAGGGTGAAGCCACGCCAGGAATGTAAGCAGGGAATGGAGGAGGAAAGGAGAAGGAGCTGAGCCGGATTCTTCAATGCTAATGCCACATTAGCAGCTCACGGTCACCTTCTTCAAGGGGTAGCACAGGCTCTCTGCTTCCCAGGGGCCTTTACAAAGTGGCGAAACAGTGAATTTTGGATTTATTCAGGTAAGGGTTGGCTGAAGATTAGCTCCAAGAACATTTTTAAACTTGCATCAGTACCTGCCAGTGGAGCAGCACTGAGTGTAAGGAAGCAAGAAAATCAATTGTGTATGGCTGCCTGCTGGGGTGTCCTTGGATCTTATCTGCAATATTAGATGTACCTTTCTTTAGGATGAAAATAGATACAGTCCAAAGAAAGCCTAGTACTGTGTAGTGAAGCAAATCACCAAGTATGGAAGAGTGTTTTGAAGGTGTTGTAGTGCCCCAGTTTTATATCCTGCAATATCAAGTTTCTTCCATCTGCCACCTGGCTTCCACATTTTCCCCTTGGAGTCCTACATGCCAGCAGAACAGAAAACAGCTCTGCAAGCTCAGGGAGTGGTGGGCTTCCCTTCCCCTTTAGCAACATCTGAACTAATGCCACATACTTTGTCATTACCTTTGGTTTCTTCCTTTCAATGTCCATGCAGTGACAGCAGCGGGTGGCCCACTGAGGCAGCACAGATCCCAAGGGATCTGCACTGTGCCACTGGCTTTCTGCTTAGCTCCTCCCTAGCAGGTTCATGGAGGCAGAAGTGCTCCATGGAAACATTAAAACATTAACATTAATATTAAGCTGTTCCTAGTATCGGTCATTTAGGGGTGCTTTAGAAAACACAAAAATAAATCTGTAATTTGTCTCACTAGGGTAAGTAAACATTAATGCCAGGTTGT